CCGAGGGGCCGGTAAGCGACGCGGCGAGGCTTGGGTCCGCTGCTGTCCCGCGAGACGACAAGATCGATTGTTCGGAGGTCTGGGCCCCCAGACCTCCGACGACGTGTTTCTGTTCACGGCGCGGCCCCAGGAGGTCCCCGACCCCTTCTCGGGAGGCCGTTTTCCTCCCCGGGCCTGTGCTCGATCCTCGCGAGGCCCGAGGATTGGCACGAGAGGCCGCAGGTGAGGAGGAACGCCGCGAGGCCTGGGCCGTCTTCTGCCCCACGAAGCTCGGGGCCCCCCAAAACGGTGTGGTGACCTCACCGTGTCCTGATTCCATCGGGACTCGGGGTGGCCGCACTGTTTGGGGACTCGGTCGTTCTCCGGGGCCGTCTCGGCCCGGCGGGGGCCCCCATGGCCCCAGCGCCGTGAGGCGACTCTCGAGATTTCGAGGCCGACATCGGGGGAGCACGCCGGGATGGAAGCATCACCCCGCCGGACATTTGGGCCTGTCGGCGAAACAGCAGCTGTGGGCGGCAAATCTCAGAGGCGACGATAGGGGCGAACAGCCCAGGGGAGAGCAATACATGTATTCAGGTGCGCCGATGATCTATGTCTTCGAAAAGGCTCCCCGGCGAATACGTGTAATGCCCGCCCCTGGGCTGCTAGCCCATTTTCGTCGCCGCGGAAAATGCACTGTGCAGTCGGTGCGACCTCCTACTCGCCAGGGCAATCCTTCGGAGATCTGGGTCCTCACTTCGTTTGCGCTGCTTCAGGGGCCGGGGCGTCTGAAGCCAGAGATGCATCCAGGAGACGTCAGCCATGTCGGCCTGCCGCCCTCCCCCGTCCAGCGCCGCTGCCCCCCCCCGAGGCCCCCTTCTGAGGGGGAACGAGGTAACTAGCCAAGCTTGACAGTGATAATGCGCGATGAGGATGGGCTATGCGCGGAGGGGGGTAGGGGGAGGGGGGAGGGCTTCTTGGAAGCACCCTGCTCCTTAGAAGGCGCGGGCCTCATCTGTGGCCAAGGCCGGCGCCTCCTGAGAGGCGGCCTCCCTCGAAGCCTTCGTGCGCGCCGCCACATGGCTGCAGGGCCCCTTGGAATCGGGCCCGACGAAAGGGGGGGATTGGGAAAGGGGGTTACGAAATCTGCTGTATGCAGCTGATTTCGGCCCCACCGCCGGGCACATTCCTCGATGCATAGCTCCCTCCGGCGCAGGGAGGCGCCGGGAAAATCAGCTACGCGAGCTGATTCTCAAACCCCCCCTTTGCTATCCCCCCCTTCCGCCCGGCCCCTTGGGCAGCCCATGCCAAAGCTTCTCGAGTGGAGCCCCCGGCAGGCGCCGCCGCCCCCCGCGGAGCCCTCGGCGGCCCCGGCGCCTGGCCCGTGCCGCCGCTGCGCCGCGCGGCGGGGCTGCGCGCCGGGCGCGCCGCGGAGACGGCCCCCCCTGCGGACTGCACGGGCGGCGCGGGCAGATCGCCGAGGAGCGGCAAGGACAGGCGGCGGAGAGGCGCGGGGGGGGAGCGCATCCTGGGGCCGTCTTGGGGGGGCCCAAGGTGGCCCAGCACGGGTGTCGGCCCGCGGGAAGGTGGGGGGGAGGGGGGCAGGGTGGAGGGTGTTCTGCCTTTTTCTGGACTCCGGAGCCGGTTTCGGGCCCAGGACCGTGAAACACGGATTTGGGATGGGAAACTTCACCAGGTGGACCCCAGGAGGGGTCCGAGGATTGATTTGAACGGATTTGGCTTCATCCCCTTCTACTGACCGACTTCCTGGGATCCCGACAAGTTCAGACCCCCTGGCTGCCTCCAAAATGCATCGACCCCCGATCGCCCATTGATCGCCGATAGGGTTCTGATAGCCCCATCCCGCCCAGGAACGCGCGGACTCGCTATCGGGGACTTATCGGCCCTCCTCTATCGTTGCCCCTCAGTCTTCCCAGATGTCCGACGAAGTGTTGTTTTGTTGTTGTCAGACACGCGGGTTTCCCCATGCACCTCGCAGGAAAGCACAACCCTGGCGTAAGCTGAGCTCAAGGCGGCTTTCTTGGATCGGCGCTGGGCCCCCTAATCCTTGTGGTCTCTGGGACCCGCTTCCGGGCTCGGGGGCCATCACAGACGGATCCTGGGCGAAAGCTGTATTTGCCCTGGGGAAGGGGTGGGGAGTTCTGGGGCCGCGCATCGGAAGCATCACATCGTCGGATGTCCGGGCCCTGTTGCGAGAGAATCACGGCGTCCCCAAAAAGAGGCGTCGCGCTCACGCCCCCTGGCACGGCGGCGGGGCTTACCGAAAGCCACTGTGTGTCCGCCGCCCCCTGTTTCTTGCCACAGGCATGCACGGCGTGACCAGATTTCTGAGTGGCTTTCAGCCAGTAAGCCAGGCGCCAGGCAACGGCGCATCGGCAGGGCTAACTGAAGGTTCCCATTCGGTTGTTTTTTTTCTGAGTGGCTTTGGTTCTGGTTAACTGAAGTTTCCCATTCGGGTCTCGGCCGATCGCGCCGGCCGGCCGGAAGGCCCAGGAAGAACTAAGGGGGACCGCCTCCAAGACGGCGAAGGTGGCCTCCGAATGCCTCCGAGACGGCTAGCATAAGAGAGCCCAGGATGGCCTGCCTCAAGATGGTTCCGAGATGCACCCAAGACGTCACAAGATGGCCAAGAGATGGCCCAAGACGGCCCAGGAGGCCCCTAAGATGGTACCAAGACGGCCCAAGAGGCTTCCAAGAGGATCTCCAGGAAGGCTTGGCGTCCTTGCGTTGTGTTTGCTCTGGGCTCCGACGCAGATTCGGCAAAGACGGGGACGGGTTAGGGTACCCCTGCGTCCCTGGGGTTTTGGTCGCCCGCCGCCCCAAGCGTCCGAATCTCGACCTCCAAGGGTCCTGCGTCCCTGCCAGCTTTCTTCAGAGCACGTCCCGACTCTGCCCCCCCCCTGCGCGCCGACCACGAGCGACCCCTCGCCAGAGCGACCTCTCGCGTGCTGCTCCCGGGAGTGCGCGGGGGCGCTCAGGGCCCGAGCACGCAGGCCGCCCCTGCCGCACCGCTCGCAGGGATCGGCGAGCCGCCCCCCCCCCCCCCTTTCGAGGGCCCTTCTTGCCCAGGGTCGCCCTGCCTTGGTGCCCCTCGGACGTGTGCACGCTTTCTTCGGCGAGGGCCATCGAGGCGCGAAGAGCACGCGCGAAACCGAACGAGGCACAGGGAACTGACGTCCGAGCGACGGCAAGTTGCGGGTCAGTGGTCAGTCCAGACGAAGAGCGGGCCCCGGGGAGAGCGTGCCGGATCAAAGGGGGGCGGATAAGAAAATGGGGCGGTACGGCATCTTCTGCGCGCAGCTGGTTTCGACTCCGCCGTCGGGCGCCTGGCTCGACAACGCTGGTGCCGGGAGGCGCAGGGAGGCGCCAGGGAAATCTGCCACGCGAGCTGACTGATTCGCTACAGTCGGACCTATGCATAGGATCGAGGTGGGTTCGGAGAGGGTGCCCTCGTGTTCTTCGTGCGTCTTGGAGGTTCGTGTGCATCTTGGGGGAGGGTACCCTCGGGTGTTCTGTGTGTTTTGGCCCGTGGAGGGCCCCAATGTTTTTGAAGGATGCTCTTCTGGCCCTGGCCCGGCTCGAGGAAGGAGGGCGCCGCCCTTCTCCGTCCTGCCCTGCGGCCGCCCTCTTCCGTCTCTCGCCCGCCTGTGTGCAGCTCGCCCAGCAGCGTCCCCGCGCAGGCTGCGGACGCGGTGCGCATTCGCCACCGCTGCGACTGACAGGTAGCTGGCTGTGAAGCCGGCCCTGGGGAAAGGCTCGGGACTCCCCTGATATCCGACGTCACGAAACAAACCGCGACATCGCGAACAATAACGACTTGATTCCAAGATCCGATCTTTCTGCGGCTGTTTCGAGCTGTATCGATCTGTGATGGTTGCGGGGCCCGGCACCTGACGAAAACGCCAGTTGTGAGAAAATAAGAGTGCCGGGATCTCGTGGTGGTTTGCCATCGCTGCGACTTCCACGAAGCAGGAACGCCGGCCCTGGGGAAAGGAGCGAGACTCCTGGGGAACCGCTACTGAACAACAGAGGGCGTCGGGCCTCTCCGTGCTTCGCGAGCAGGCTGCCTTTGGCGGCACGCAGATCCTTCCCCCCCGCGGGCTGCGCGGTGGCCTGTGGCCTGCTCGTGCTTGAGAAAGGGACCAGAAGCTGCATGAAAGCAACAAGAAGCGACAACAGTAAGGAGAGCAATGGCAACAGCATATAATCTCACATGCCCGCATAGCTTCGCCCTCTGCCGCCGGTCCCCCTCATGTTGCTCACGTGGCCACGCTCGGTTGCCAGGTTGATCGTTCTTCTTGTTGGTTGGCCCGCTGACAGCTCGGCTGATTGGCTTTTTGTTCAGATTGGTGGTTGTCCGCAGGCTTGGGCTGTTTGCTGGCTCGCTGCTTGTCCGCTCTGTACTGCAGTGATGAGGGATGGTGGGCTTGGGAGCGCGCGTCCATGGGAGGCAGGGACCAGCACAGTCGCATGACCTAGAAGTTAATGCTGGCGAAGATGGCAGGAACGTTGATGTTTCTTGGGGGCCGATACGGTTGCTGAGCCTTCGGGGGGCTTCGCGCCGCCACAGCTGGACTCCCCCCAAAATTCGGGTCGAAGCGCACCGCCAGTGAGGCAAGGTCCGTCCGAAAAGGCGGGTGAATTACAAACTCCTCGGAGGTTCGCGAGGAGCTCCTGGGTCGGCGATGGACCCCGCTCCCTGCACGCAGCGCCGCCAGGGGTTGGGCCCAGTGAGTAGGGAGGGCGCACGAGGACCACGAGGGCGAGGGCGGCGGCGAGGGCGAGGACTCGTGCGGCGAGGGCGGGGAGGACGGAGAGGTGGACGAGGACGACAGGGACGACGAGGACGACGAGGAGGACGACGCGGACGAGGAGCAGAAGGAGGAGGAGGAGGAGGAGGACGAAGACGACGATAGGGGGAAGTGGAGGGCGGTGGCGGCAAGGACAACGGGGGCGAGGGGGAGCACAGCGGCGAGAGGGCGGCGCGTGGGTGCGGCGAGGTGTCCGTGCTCGACGTGCAGGCCGTGTGCTACACGCGCATCTGGTGCAGCTACGAGGCCTCTGCCCGACCCCAGGGGGGCTCGGCGCGCGGGCCGCGGTGCGCCGCGGCTCAGAGGAGGAACAGGTAATTACCCATACTGATGGGCCTGTTTTCCACCACCACTGGAGGGGGTAGGAGGTGGAGGATGAGGAGGAGGAGGAAGAGGAGGAGGAGGAGGACCCCCTCACCCTCCTACGTATGGTGGTGGCGGTGGAAAATAAACCCACCACATACCGCAGCCCTGCCATCGTTCTCCATTGTTGGGCCCCCCTGGGAGGTCCTCGTCGCCACCGCTTGATTCGCTCCGAAATTATGGTCAGGACGCACCCCGGGAGAGGTCCAGAGAGTAACGGTATATCGGCGCTTTTTGGTCTCCCCGGCGGAGGGCTGCGGGAGATGTTCGAAGGCCCAAGAGGCTGGCACCACTATCAGCATCCGGAGTTGCCCTCGGCCTGCACCTTCCGCGCGGAAGGTGCCGCCGCGATGTTGCCGCCGCGGCCGCCTCTGCGACCTCGACGGTGGCCGCCGCTGCGACCGCTGCGTCGGCCTCGGCAGCGCGGCACCTACCGCGCTGAAGGTGCCGAAGGTGCAGGTCGAGGGTGCCTCCGCCAAGGCAAATTTGGTCCTGTTCTCGGTGATGCTGGTCGTATTCGGGCTTTTTGGGTGACCGAGGGGCTCCCACCAGCATCAATATCTGATCTCGTCCTCCCCCGGCGGAGGCGGTCCCCTTTTCCTTTCTGTGTTGCTCAATCCGAGGGGGAGCACGGACCTCGCAACATCGCTACTGACTGCGAAACCTCTAAACTGCCCACGGGGCGGTTCCCTGAGGAGGCTTATTCTAAAGCGTTCGAGGCGAAAAGTTCTTATGCTCCAGCGCCTGACTTTGCTTTGGGGCATAAGAAATGATATGGCTGCTGATGTTCCCTCCCTCCCCACCTCCCTTTCCGCCGCAGCCGGACTTGACGCAGCAGCGCTTTCGGTCCCAGCCCCGGCCGCGGCGACGAAAGGGGCAGGACGAGGACGACGACGACGACCACGACCACGACCACGACCACGACGATGACGACGAGGACGTCGAAGGCGAGACCGAGGACGACGGCGACGACGGCGTTTTTTCAGGTGTTCGGTCGGCTCTTCCGGAACGGTCGCGGGGCCCGGGAATCGTCCGAGACGGTGTTCCCAGAGGAGCTGGTCGACCTGATCCCAATGTCCTTCCCGGTGACGTACAAAATCAAAGCTTGCGACCTCATCGGAAGGTACCCCGGGAACCAGTGGGAGAGGTCAGGGAAGAGGGCCTTCGCTGTGCAGAGCTGGTGCGAGCTGTCGCTGAAGATTGTGAAGTGCCATCAAGGAGATGAGCAACGAGGACGAAATGGACCCAGAGGACCTGAAGAGGTTGAAGGAATGCTAGAAGTTACGAGACCGCACCTAGACCATACCGGATGGCACCGAGATCTTCGCGGAAAAATTCGGCAACCCCAAGTCGGAGGAGACGATTGCGGCCAGCTTATCCAGCGGCCACCAGTGAGGGCACCCACTGGAGCCTGCCGATATGCCAAGAGGTATTAGCGAAGTTTCTCGAAGCGCTACTCTAAGGCAAAATGCGAGCTGGCCGTGCCCGCAGACAGTCAGGAGAAGCACTAGCGAGGTTTCTCGGAGTGCAACTCATGACAAAATCTGGGCACAAAGCGCCTGCATCGCAATCGCAATGTGAGGTATTTTTTTGAATATTATCAGGTACACTCATGCAGGGCGTAGAGGGGATAACATGTGACCATCAAGAAGCCCACCAGTGTGCTCATCATGAGCCAGCCCTACCTGCGACCGTGACTTGCAGTATGCTCTACCTCATATACGCTCCGAGGGGGAACCCTGGGCTATTCCAACAGGGTACGACCGAGAAGTGAGCTGAGCGAGAGAGGGGAGCGCGGAATTCAAACTGTAGATTTAGCGCCCCCCCCAACAGCAGTTTGGGGTCTCGGGCCTTCCGTCTCTCCCCCCTCGCCTCCTTTTGAGGTCGTGTCATCGTCTCCCCCCCCCCCTTGGCTTGGGCGCCCTGCTAAGCCCGCGCGTCTCCTCCCCTTGTGCCTGCGGAAGGGCCAGCAGCCGCTCCCCCCGCGCTGACCCGAAGGGACTCGTGATGTAAGGTATCGAGCCTCCCTTACGGGGCCACGTCGGAGCTCGGTCCTTGAGCTACGTGGTATACCCCATGCCGGTCTTAGCGAGGAGGCAGGGCTGTAACACAACAGATCGCAGGGTCGCCAGGGTAGGTGCTGAGTAGGTGCTCTGACGTTCTACCCCCTTTTATGCGGGTGTCCTTGTCCTTGTCCTCCTCCTCCTTCCCCTTTCTTTTCAACGTAATCCTGCAAGTTCCACTCTTCGCGCCCGCGCCAATGAGACCTGCAAACCGAAACCGGATCCGGAGACGCTCTGGGCCGGACAGGCCAGACCAATCGGACAAGCCAGACGAACCAAATCCAATGGAGCAACCGCGCCAGACCAAGCCAGTATACCAACCAAACACCAGACGAACCAGACCAACCAGACCAGCCAGACCAACCAGACCAACCAGTTTAGCTTAACCACTTAACCAAGCTGACCCGCCGGACCAGCCAGACCAACCAACCAGACTAGACCAGCCTGACCAGCCGATTAGGCCAGGCAGACCGGACCAGACCAACCAGACCAGCCAGGCCAACCAACCAGCCAGATCAGACCAGATTAGCCAGACCAAAATTTACCTCGAAGAGGGGGGGGCCGGGGGGGCCGAGGAGGGCGCGAGCTCGCCAACGCACCCCTTGGGTCTCCCGCGCGTCCACGGAGCTTCGAAACGGCCCAAACAGAGCGCCAAAACGGTCCTGGAGAGTGTCCAGACGGCCCAGGGTAGCCCCGCGACGGTTCAAGATGGGTTCGAAACTGTTCACGACGCCCAGGACGGCCCAAGAACGCTACCAGAGAACCGCCAAGAGTGCTTCAAGATACAAAGATCGCCCCATTCCCTCCGGGAGACATTCATTTCTACCATGTTCGTTTTTTTGTTTTGGCGACGCCCATGTCGACCCAAGGAGCCCCTTAGATCGTCCCAAGACGGCTCATGAGGCCCCAAAGAGAACCCCAAGATGGCCCATGAGGGCCCCAAGACGCTCCAGGGCCCCCAAGGCAGCCCAAGAGAGCTCTCGGGGCCGACGGAATGGCGTAAGCCACGTCACATAAGTGGAGGTCGCCAGCGCTTCGACCTCCACTTGATGTGTGCACTGCTCAAGTCGAGCAGCCGTGTGGACGGAGGTGGTCTATGGTGTTGCCTCTCCCGCGTTTTTCCTTTTCGGTGACAGCGTCGCCTCACCCTGCCCTTCAGTCCAGACCAGCCAGATCAGACAGAGCAGCCAGAGTAGCCAGACCACCAAGATCAATTAGACCAGCTAGACCAACCAGACCAGGCAGACCAACCTGTCCAGCCAGACCAGACCAGCCAGACCAGATGCTAAAGACACTGCAATGCAACAAAAGACAGCAATGCAACACATGCAATACAACAACAATTGCCCGAAGTCTAAGCTAATTGCTTCAGGACGAACTTTGAACCAGCTAGACCAGACCAGCCAGACCTGATGCAAAAACAACTGCAACGCAAACACAGATATTTAAGCCAAGGATTCAGGGCGAAGCTCAAACCAGCTAGACCAGGCCAGTCAGACCATATGCAAACAAACAACAGCAACGCAAACAACTACAATCTAACGAAAACTGCCACGCAAACGAAACACCGCCCGAATCCCAAGCTAAACCTTACAGGCGAAGCTCAAACAGCCAGACCAAACCAGCCAGACCAGATGCAAAAGACACTGCAATGCAAACTTACCGCACAGCAAAACACATGCGCTGCCAAAGCAATCGCCCGAATCTTCAACCACGGCTTCATAACGAAGCTCAAACAAGCTAGACTTAGACCAGCCAGACCAGATGCAAACAACCACTACCGTGAAAAGCAACAACCGCAATGAACAAACAATCTGCAATGCAAACAACACATCGCCCGAACCCTATGCTCAAGCTTCAGGACGAAGCTCGAACCAACCAGACCAGACCAGCCAGACCAGGTGCAAATGAACACTGCCATACAAAAAACAACTTCAAAGTAGGAAAACTGCACTGCAAACACACATTGCAATGCAATAACAATTGTGTGTTCGGTGGTCGTCGTGGTTGGCGCTGCCTCCGTGGACCCCCCCAAACCACTCTTGCCCAAATCCAAATCAAATGCTTCAGGTCGGAGCTCAAACGATCAACCATGCCAGCCAGACCAGATGCAACAAAAGACTGCAATGCAAAAAACAAATGCAATGCAAGAGCAACTATGTTTCAAGGATCGTCGTGGTTGGCACTGCCTCCCTGGACCTCCCCTAAACCACTCTCGCCCGAATCCTACGCTAAGGCTTCAGGACTAAGCTACTAAGCTCAAGCTCAAGCTTAAGGCTGAAGCTTCAAGCTCAAGCCCAAGGCTGAACCTTCGAGCTTACTCTTTGGAAGCCTGGCGCACCGCCGTGCGGCAACTTTTCCACGACGAACCCTCGGGCCGACACACGAACGAGCGGTAGCTGCGGAACGCGGCAAGGCACGCTGAAAAGAGCGTGCCAGGCGCAGTGGTTTGACCTGATGGCCTGAACTGTCGTGGAGCGCGGCTTTCTCTGGAACTGCTTTGCAGAGGGGCAGTCGACGAAATGCTGAGGAAGATGTTTAAAATACACACCACACCAAACATCGGTCGATGCATCATGGGGCGCATGCCAGGCTCGACTGCATCACGGAGTGCTCCGTTGTGAATGCGCCTTCCTCCGCCGAAGCCGTGGCTCTCGAAGTTGCCAGACATTGGCGGGAAAAGGTCGCAGAGCGCAGGGGGGGGCCGTGCCGTGAGCGATTTTGCGCAACAAACCAACAACATATACAACTCCCGTCTCATACATGCAGGGGCGAGGAGGCACTCACAAAGAGCCTGGTCGTCGGACACCTCAACCGATT